AAATAAATCATAAGAAATCTGGGATGATATATTCCAGCAATAAATAACGAAGAGGTGTGTGGGAGTGGTTGAAAAGGTCGTTCGAGAGGAAGCCTCTTTCCAGCCCCCTTTTGTAGATTTATTAATGCACGGGAACACATTTTTGTCTGAAAGGTTGCAATTATTAGTTTGTTACTACATTTTACCTTCGCATTATGATTTTGTTGCGCACAAAACTTCGTTAGGAATCACTCGGTTTCTCGCAGGGAAGCCATTGAGAAACGTTCCTTTGCAAGAAATACAAAGGGTTTTCCGTTATTTATTTGTCTCAGATATGAACAGTTGTGGACTCAATTTAATCCTTGCAATGCAAACATCATAATTTATGAATTTTTTTATTGAAAATAAGTTGTGCAAACTTATTAGCACAACATAAGCGAGCAAAGGACCAAATTCTCTTTTTTGAAGGTGAATCTTCAAAGAGTTTGCCCACCAACGTTGGGTTGGTTCCCAAGTGTTTCTGCACCAAACCACCGCACTAATCGACTAACTCTTGTATTTTCTGTGCCAATATCTTCTAGCATCTGGCAATGGCACCAATTTTCACCGTTACATTATACAGTGCGTCCTATGATAGATGTAACAATGAGTGAAATGTACGCAAAATTTTTGAATTTTTCAATACCATTTCGAAAATGAGTTCTGCTTGTTGTAAAACTAAGGTACCTAAACAAAAAATATGTTTATTCCGAATTACACTGGGAGTTTTGGGAGCAATTGAGTACAAAGTTCCCAGGAAAGTTTGTCATTCATTTTTCTAAAGTCGGAAAAATTTCACTTTCACTTTCACGGAAAAGTTGTTTAGGATGCAATACTTAAGTTCCCAATTTAGGGAACATTTTAGGATTTTAAGGAAAAAACATTTTTAATATTAACCTGGCGAAATCTCTACGTTTATAAAAAATGTAATCAAAAATAGGTACCCATATTATTCCAGAATAATTATTTAATCCATATTAGAGCCACGCAACTCCCCAATCGTTCAATCCCTCTTTTGAACTACATATTTAAAGCTGATTAAAGAGTTTACAGCTTTTCAAATTATTAGCTGCACCACTAGGGAGTGGCTCAGCATAAACCTTGAGTTTCCAAGTGAAAGATCCAAAAATCCACAGTGAAAGATCTGGAGATCTCGGAGGCCACCTGATTAGTCCATTAAGGACAATTCAATTTTTTACAAAAGCACTTCAACTGTTCAACTGTGTGTGTGTTAATTAATCTCAAGCAGAAATAACCAGGTCTGACAAAAGTATAAATTTATACTAAAGTTTCTTTTTCATACCTTACTTTGTGTTTATTGCGGGAATAAAATTCAAGTTTGTCCGAAAAGTATCTTCATCTTCCTCAAATTTGAAATTATACGCAGGTTTAAAGAATTATTAGCAAATTGCGTTTTTTTTCTTAGTTTTCTTCCTTTCTTGAAGGCACTTTTACAATTTTGACCAATTTGTTTATAAAACCTCCTGAGTAACCAGGAATTGCGTAACTTTTTGTATATCTTAGTTTAACATCAAGCAGGACTCATCCCCTAAATATCATCAAAAAATTTGTGTACATTTTACCTGTTGTTACATCTATCTAAGAGTCAAAACTGATATTCCTATCATTCCTCTTCAGGATTTCTAAATGCCTCTTGAAGGAAAAGGGTTAGGAAGACCTTACCAGAAAATACAAGATTTTGTCTTAAGTGCGTCGGTTTTGTGCAGAAACAGTTGGTGACCAGAAACTGTTGGTGGTCAAAGTCTTTAAAAATGTTCCTTCAAAACAGTGGACGATGAGACCCGTAGTTCTAAAGCATTCAATAATTTGGTCGCTTGCTTATATTGACGCCAGAGATCCTTATGGAAACATTTGTATATGGAAATCTGAAGTTTGCACTACTGTTCATCATCAAGGAGAAACTGTTTTTGTGTCATATTTTTTAAGTCTTCTGGTGCGGTTTGTCTGTTCTTTCATGATTTTCCTATTGTTCATGCCGTGCTTGATGACCCGAACGGAGGACATATACCTAGGTATAAAACATTCGAGATACTATTGTATATGGAATAAAGCCAGAATGTATTTAAAATTCATATGATAGCCGTTGAAAATCTGCAGGTAAAAAATCAGATCATTAAACTCCAGATTGGGATTGGAAAAACAAAACTTTTTTGGGTATCAACTTTACCACCCCCCAACTAACACCATTTAAGGTATGAAATAAGTATGTTAGGGTGGTACTTCGACCGCTCTTCCCATGAAATTGGAAACAGTGCAAGGAGAACTTTGCGAACTGGTATGCCAGGAAGCCGAAGCTATTGGACGAACAATAGAAGATGCGACTGGAAGATCTCCAGTAGTACTACGCGGACTGAAAGCATGGCAAAACAACAATAACGAATCGTCGTTAAATGTAGAAAAACAATCTGGCATCGGTCGTAAAACCAAACCGTTGCTAACCTGGGAGTATTGATGATGTTGCGTATATACCTGCAGAACGATGTCGGCCGCCTCTATGCCTTTTTGCGCCGTATATATTAAAACATAAAATTAATGACACGTGACCAATTCGTAATGGCCGCGTCCCGCGCACCACGTCATTAGTAAAAACGTTTTACGGTTTGCCGGGTTTTCGAAAACCCGCACCGTGACAATGACTTGACACTTCTTTTACGGTTCGCAAAATCCGGACTTAACACCATCGCCTATCATCACCTTGCACAAACGTCGCACAAATTTCGTCTCCAAATTTGTAACTTTTTTATATTAAATTGCGTCACAAATGGAATGGACAATGGGGAATATTCGGGTGCGAATGAATATGGTGTTGATTAA